CCCACCCCGCGACACTCCCACACAGTACTTCGGGTGCTTAGGGTTTTCCTAGTCCTGCTACTGCTACTGCTGCTACCGCCCGACGACTCCCTTCCCCTTCCTTGTCCCTTCCCCTTCCCTCCAAAACAAACGCGCACACGCACATGCGTGCTCACGGAAAACACACACGCACGGAGCCCAGGAGCCCCCGCGGCACGCAGCCCTCCGCCCGGGGCCGCTTCTCACCTAGCCCGCAGCGGAGCGGATCGCCGTACTGAGGGTGCATGCATGTATGTGTACTGCATATGTATGTGTTTTGGGGGATGGGGTGTGGGTGGAAAGAGCGGGGAAACATTGTCTCATGTTCTCATGTGCACCCTCCAATGGAAGTAAGAATGCATGGCATCGTTTTGTATGTACTGCCTGTTGTACGACCCGTTGTATGGCTGCAGCGGGCGTTGCGTATTGAATGTGGCGAGGAAGGAGAGTCTTGTGTGCATGTCGTACAGGCTGTAGCAGCAGCAAAGTTCTGCATGTTCCACCTCTTGTAAGTGCCCCAGCTGTAGGTGTACAATGGGAGGCATGTAGATACAATGGAGGTTGTACTTGTGAAGCTCGTACATGTCGTCATGAGGCGCGGAATACGGGCGTGTGTGTTTTGGTGTTGGCGGGAAGGTGGGAAGCTTTCCGGTGGTAGGTAGTAAGTAGAAAAGCACAACCATCCCTCACCATGGCTTGCGCACGAATATTTGTACGGCGTACGACACGTACGAGAATTTGTTGCATTACTGCGTTGTTGTATATAAGCGGCACACTGAGAGGGGGAATACTTGGGTGCTGTTGTGATGGTTTTGAGCCTTGGGTTTTAGGGTTTTAGGTTTCCGCATGTTAGGTTTAGCTGCATTGGTTTTGCGGGCGGCGGTTGCAAGACGGTTGGGTTACAGCATAGCCTAGGGATCCCCGTGTCGGAATGCTATCTGCAAAACCAAACCGCGGAGAACCAGAGCGGGATGTCCCAGTGTGTGTGTATGTACGGCAATATCTTCCCGTAGTGCTGTACTCGTGAACGCGGGGGGAACAAGCGGAATGGGGGGCCGAGGGGGTTCAGCGAGGAAGCGGTCCCATCGACTGCTACTGATGCTGCTACTGCTATTCCTGCTACTGCTATTACGGCTGCTGCTACTGCTGCTACTGCTGCTGATGCTGTAAATATGTGCTATGTGGTTGTTGAGCAGGGCCAGCGGGTATTCCGCCTTGCAGCCCTGGAAAGGGCGCGCGGTCTTGGGTCCGGCCAACATCGTACGGGATAAAGGTTTTAGAGGTGCTTACGCTGGAGGGTCGTGTTGAAACACTACGTCGCTGTTTACACACCACCTTTCTGATTCGCAAGTGGAGCAGAACTGCGTTCTCGCAAGCGCGGTGTAACGCCTTTGTTGTAAATATATATCCTCGTCAAAAAGGCACGGATATAGCTTTTTTGAGGTGGCGCACCGCGAAGGAGGGGGGGGGGCTCGGCGTCAAGTCGACCTGGCCTTTCTGCTGCACGCGATAACCCCCAAGCAGAGTGTACCAGCAGAGCCTGCGTGTGGGCATGTTGTTGACGGCGCAGCCGCACTCAGGCGCGCACTCGTGCAGACACCGCTGGGGATTGCTGACCCGTCGAGGAACGATCACACGCACATTTCCATGCATATCCTTTCGGAGCGACGGCGTAGTATTCGGCTAGGCCGGATGCCCCTTTTCGAGGCTGCCGGGAATGTGAGGACATATGTATGTATGTAATGAAATACATGTTGTCCTGATCGCCTCGTCAGCTGCAGGAATAATGCGCGGCCAGCTGGCCCGCTGGCTCTACTCTCCACATGAGTCTAGAGCCCAGTGTAACAACCTCCCCCCCCACCCCCCACCCCACCCCCCACCAACCCCCACCACACACAAAAACACAAATATGCAGGCATACCATAGAATATCGTGACGCAAGATCGCAGAGCTAATAGGTTTTTCCTAGTATTGCTGCATGCCGTCATGAAGGGATGGCGAAGGGAACCGAAGTGAAGAAGGCTGCTGCTGCTACATATAGTCAGACAGACAGACAGACAGACAGACAGACAGACGGTTTTCACGGATGCGTGCCGCCCCAGGGTTGACATCATCGCCAGTGCCGAGTGCCCAAGTCCGATCTAATCCCGTGCGGCTCCTACTGGGCGAACTCCTGACGGGAGCTCGAGTAGATATTTTATAATATTTATATATTTATGTTATTCATAATTTGGCTGGCAGCATTCCTCCATACAGAAAGGTCTCACCCGATCGTTCGACGCGATCCAAAACAAGCAATTACCCGAAGAAGCAATAGCCGCTCCGCCCGTTGATCACCGCCGCCAACAGGTGTGCGGCACGTCGCACCACCGATCCACCACCGCTCCGCCCACCGCCTGATTGAACCCACATGCGACAGACTGTGTGAGGGTTTGGTATTCGAATTACTGAATAGGCTTAATTAGCTTTGATTAGTATGACTTTGTGCCGGACAAGGCTTTGCCAGGCTGTTTAAGGTATCCTTGCTCCTTGTAAGCTTTAATTTCTTCTCCTTCTTTATCCCTCAGACAGCGACCGATGCCGGGCCTTGCAGAACAGCGGCCAAGTTAGGAACTGAACGCTTCCCCAGTTGCCAACTGGAGGAGCCTGTTCCTTTCATTTCGAGTTATGGTTCGAACCCTACCTCGGTACTTTCAGACTGTTCACTAACGCACTCGCTGTTGGGTGTCACCTCAGCTGCCTATCGCCAAACTGCGAAACCGTGTCCTTGGGCCACCCGCCTGAGTTGTCCGTCGGCCGGTCCGCGCGGCACCTTTACGCTACCGGTGTGTACCACAGGTCGAAAGAAGCTGCGGATATAAGATATAAGATTGCGCCTAGGTGGGTGGTTACATACGGAACGAAGTAAACCGTTTCAGCTGTACATGGCTATGGCGCATCTATCTGTTTTTGTCCTTCCGCGAGTCGTCAAAACATTTATTTAATCATACAGGAGTTTGTTTCCCTGGAATTAGCTTATTACATACCATTATTTCTATCGCACGTAAGCGGCACGAAGAGGCCCAACACTTGTGGCAGATCTCCTATTTTCCGAATAGATCGAGATTTGAAACGCGCATACTGCACGACCAGCGCGTTATCCGCAATTAGTTGGACTACGGGCACTCAATTCTGCAAAGCCCCGCAACAACGGGGAAACTATGGGAAATCACTGGCGCCATGCCTGTACAGCTCCTGTAGTGCAGCTCCTGTACAGCTCCTGTACAGCTCCTGTAGTGCTCCTGTAGTGCACTTTCGCGTGTGCGTAGATGGAAACGTTGTGTAAATATGGGAATATATATCACATCTTATGTCTCCAGCATGTAGCGCAGGAGACTTGAAAGCGGGTCACCGCGTGCGTGCCCGTGCGCGCCAGCATCATGGCTGGCGACAGGTCGGAGGTTAGGAGTAGGACTCTGCCTGTCTAAGATGTTGAATTGTATAAATTTATTGCACAAAAGATACTGTTATTATAACGTGGGATTCAACTTGTGAAGCGCTACAGCAAGGTCCTCTGTGCGCTGTAACCGCCAAATCGCATCCTTCCGGAGCCGGCGGCTCCGGATATCATTGCACCATATATATTAAATTGTTTCTGCTAGAACCAAATTGTCGCTTTTTAAAGCTAGCCTAGCTTAATATCTGCGGAACCATTCACGTACAATTCAACTTAATCCTTCAGGCAGACCGCAAACCTGATCAGATGTTAAATGATCAAACTTACAGTGATGTCAGTTAAATCTTCTGTGACATACGCAAGTTAACATATCTTCCTTTCACAGGAAGAACTCGACGCTTAGTAACTCTATCCAGCCTTAACCGAAGGCTTCTACTTCTATCCACCGATCTTCACCGATTACCAAGATGCGTGCTTCAAGAGATGAGATTGTTGCCTCCTTATCCGCTTCTAGCTCGGTCACACTGGGCCACGCACAACTTCAAGCCAAGGCACCCAGCAACAAAGTGCACCCGATGGTACGTTCAACATATCAAAAATCATGCATGATTCGATCCTAAACATTATTTATCAAGAGCGACCCCGGCACTGTAATCTTTGCTGAACGTTCGTCTGTGCATTCCTCGAACGGCATACATGTCCCTTGCGACTCGTTTCCCGCTGCTCTACAGGCACCAAAAATGGCTTCAATCGTGGTCGATACCTACGAAACAATATACAGCTTAAAACTTGCCAAGTATTTCGAGCGCCTATCGGCATCACCAGGAACCGGTCCCAACTGCGCCGGCCACCTGCGAAAAGCTCCGTCAGCACCATCTTCCCCGCGACACACAGATCTCTCAGCCGCTAACATTTCAGATGGTAGCAATCAACATATTGAATCGATCCTGACCGCACAGCAGCAGTCGCTACTATCGCCCTCTCCACGCCTCGCAGAGTCGGAGTATTGCCTTCGGTCAGCCAACATTGCCGACGACGACGAGAATAGTGCCGACAGCGACGCATTCAACCGCTACAGCAAGAACATTATCAATACCAACATCAATATGAGCTCTACTAATGACAGCAAGACCGGCAGCAGTAGCAGCAGCAGCGGCCCCTGCTTAGGCGGCTGCGCCGTTCGCTCCGGAAGCAACCCCACCTCCTGCACCAGCAGAAGCAACCTCGCTACCGTGCACTCCGCAGCCAGCCCCAACCCCATCGCCCCCACCCCGACCAGCAACTGCGACCTACAGCCAGACTCCCTCTCCCCATCCCCATCCCCGAGCCCTCGGTTGCCCCATACAAAAACTCCGCGCAGCAGCGGCAGGAATGGCAGTAACGGCAGCGGTAACCACCCATCGCACGAGAATCAGAATCAGAACCTGTTCTTGACACGGCCCCGTAAGCACCTGGGCGCTCACCACATTGAGCTTCGCGAGGAGGAGGTTGAGGAGGAGGAAGAAGAGGAGGTCCTGCCTTCGGAAATCGCAGGGCAGCAGCAGCAGCAGCAGCAGCAAAACCACCACCACCACCACCACCAACAACAACAACAACAGCGGACGGCGGGTGGCATCAGCCGCAGCAGACGACCCCCTCTCTCCCAGGGGACTACTACCAGCGCCTCCAAGACGCCCACCGCCACCGCAGCGCCCGCAGCTGGATTCGAGCGGCCGTCGCTACCGCTGATCTCGGTGCTGCTCTGCTCGCCCCGCGATGGCGTTGAGGCGGCGGTGAAAAAGGTCTTGGACAAGGGCGCAGACGCAGACGCGGACCGGGGCCAAAGCCAAGGCCCGAGTGCGGGTGAGGATGCGGGTGCGGGTGCGGGTGTCCCGCACCTGCCCCTGGAGTACGAGGCGCTAATGGAGGCGCACATGGACGACCTGATCGCCCGGGGCCTTATCCACTGGACCCCGGAGCAGCTTGTAGAAGACGCCCTGCAGCGGGCCTTCTTCTCACCAGCCGCCTCCTCCTTACCCTCACCTTGCTGCTCCGCCGCCTCCTCCTCCTCAACCTCCGCCGCCTCCTCCTCCTTCGACTCCTCCTCCTCCACCGCCTCCTCGTCCTCCGCCGGCGCCGCCGCCGCCGCTGCTGCCGCCTCACCATCAGCGACAGCGGCAGACAAAAAAGGAGCAGTAGCAGCAGTAGCAGCAGCGGCCCCCGGGCCCATAAGGCTCTCCAG